CAACGGGGCAGAGGCAGCAGGATTGCCCTTCGACGGCTGGGCGTCGTCGGAGTGCGAATCACTGCCGTTGCGCACTGCAGGGGAGCATTGGTCGGCAGAGACAGTGGGGGTAGTCGGCGTGTCGGCCTGCGGGAGTTGCGGGGTCGTTGCCACATGGGACCTGCCGGAGGGTTGCGAAGAGGGGTGATGTTGGTCGTGGCGTGATCACAAAGGAAAGACTGCCGAACAACTGGAGTGGGGCGAGCGGCCGGGGAAGGGGTACGAGGGGGAGTCGGGGAGTCCATCTCCTCATCCTCTGACGAGCTATAGTCCTCGGCGGTCGGAGTGTAGTCAGAGTCTTCAGGATCTGAGGCATCGTCGTCATATGCGGCATGGTATTCGACTGTCGCGATGGACGGTTGGGTCGGTAGGGGAGCGTCGGCGCTCATATCCTGATCCGCGACCGCTGAACTACTCGGCAGTGGGGGCTGCAGCGCGTTATGAGCGGCTGAGCGTTCCGGAGTCGGGACCGGGGTGCATCGATGGGTGAGTCTGGCGAGGAAGCAGGGGCAGGGGTAGTCGACGCGGCCCGTTGCGTGCGTTTGAGCAGCGACGTTGGTGTGACACGGTTGAACTTGGAGAGTTTGTGTGTGACGATGCACACGTGGTTGTGGACGGTAATTTCACGGATTGGGTCATCAGGGCCAAGGAGGAGGCACGCAGGGACTCGTTGAGAGCTGAAGTACACCGTGATATGGCGGGAGTGGATAGCGTTTTTGGAGAAGGAAGACTGGAGAAGTACCGGTTGGTCGCCGTGGAGCGTGAAGTACTCCCATATATCGGATGGGGTCGTATCATCGGAAAGGAGCACATCCACCCAGTATAGATGGTTGTACTCGGAGTACTTCTTGACGGTGAAGGAGCGGCCACAGATCTTGACGGCCAGGCCACCGAGCTTGGAGACGAGATCGCGGTCCGTGCAGGTGAAGCCGATGCCGACATTCTTGATGCGTTTAAAGTTCCGACAATGGGGTTTGGCATCGATCCAGGCATTCGGTTGGTAGCCAGCTGCGAGGCAGTCCAGCAGGATTTGGAGGGGGAAGGTCGCGGCTGCCGATTTGCACGAGATGAGCATTGGGTACTCGTCTTGCACAGGCGTGGGGAGGCCTTTCATAGCTGCGAAGCGTTGGTCCACGGAGCTGACCTCCTCGTCGTGAAAGACTGCCATTGCTGCGGCAAATTCCGCTTCGGTTGGGCGACTGCGTTCAGGTCGAGGGTTGGAGGCATACCAGGAACTACGCCAGGCCTTGTCCTCGACTGGGGCGTCCTTCGGGGTTGCCTGGTCAGGGCGGGTCGGATGAGGGCCTCCTCGGGAGGGGGGGGGCGTCACGGCGACGGGGAGGGCCGGAGGTGCCGACTGTTTACGCCCACGGCGGGATGGGCCATGGGAAGACAGCGGTGGATGGTGCGGTGGAGCGACCGCACTGGAGGGGGGGGCGTGGAGAGAGGGTTGGTGACCTACAGCGGGGTAGGGTTGCAACCGGGCGTTGGAGGGCGCGACATCCGAAGGGGGGGGTGCGTCGGGGAGGGAGGGGAGGGGAAGGGGGGCACGAGGGGGGAGGGGGAGTGGTACTGGGGAGGGGAAACCTCGGAAGAGTGGGATGACGCCCCAGTCTGTCCAGAGGAAGAGTGGGACGAAACGTGGGACGATTGTCCCTCGGAGGAGGATGTAATGGGTGCGGACACTGTCATTGAGCAGTGGGGGTTCTTTTCACAGAGCAGGTTGCCAGACAGTGGGTCTGTGCACGGGGAAGCAAATTGAAAAGTAGGGTTTGATTCCGGAGAGGGAGCCTTAGAAACGGCTATCACATCCAAGGAAGGCAGCAGGCGCGTAAATTACCCAATCCTGACACAGGGAGGTAGTGACAATAAATAACAATGCCGGGCTAATTTAGTCTGGC